CTATACAATATTGTTCTTTACAGCATCGGACCTTCTTTTCGCTTCCAGATACATCCACAGCTGAACGTCCTTTCGGCTCATGGCTTCACTGAGTTACGCAAGTCCCTTCGCCATGACAAGGCAGTGATCCATGAAGGGGAACTTGCAGAATTGGTGGCTGACTAAATACTTTTTTGTCTCACTGTAGCTGTGGTAGAAATAAGAATTTGCAAGAATATAAAAGTATGAATACCTTTAGAGAGATATAGTAATTGATTTTGGTATAAACTAGATTTAGTCATATTACGGTACAGAGTGAGTTTCTTGTGAGATATGTGCTCCAAGGCCAAACTTGCTTGTTATTCCGATTACTCCTTGACTTCCTACTTTAGCATTCCAATCCCCTATGATGAAAAGGACATCTTTTTTTGGTGCTAGTTCTAGAAGGTGTTGTAGGTCTTCATAGAACCAGTTCTTTAATTTGAGTTAAACACTTGGGATTTTAAATGCTTGGGTTTTTAAGAATCCAAAGCGGATGAGAAAGGAAGATGCAACTGTAACATTAGGATCAAATAAGTCACACCATACAGTAAGCTATGGTCAAACTGAAGGTAAGCCTTGGAGAACACTGCATATTCTTTAGTTTTATTTTATTTTACTAATAATATGCCCTATATGCTTTAATGTAAGGTACTGAGTGATACTGTAAGCCACCAAGTCATTTGATTGTGATAGGCAACAAAATACATACATACTTTGGTATAATAAAAGAAATTTAGCAATAGCAGTAAAAAATAAAATGGTTACTGATGACATGACTTTCAGGTAATGACAAAGGAGACAAAGAATATGGGCTTATGTTTCTCTAGGAATCCTGCTAGTGTCTTCAGAGCACATCTGTCAGTTATCTGTTTATTTATTGGCTTTATATGCTGCTTTAGTTGCTGACAACTCTGACCAGCATACATATCCAATACCTGTAACTCAGGTTAAAAAATAATACAATTTAAAATAACAAAAATAAAAGTGCATGTACTGTACATATATAACCTCCTAGGAACATTCATTATATTAGACTGTGCTTAAAGGAACAACAGTAAAGCATCCCAACCCCCAATGTTTGCTAGAACAGTCAAGTTTTAATGACTTCTTAAAAACCAATAGGATAAGAGACATTTGTATTGCCAAGGGAATGCTATTCCACTGCAATAGTAAAATAACAGTTTGCTATTATTTTAGCCATGTTAACTTAAAAGAAGCACAAATTAACATTTTGATTGGGAATATCATTTTTTTTTCAGACAATAAAGAGTGAGAATCAGAGGATTTTTCTGTGCAAAACAATTCCCATTTACATGATGCCACCTTCTAACTCTTGCTATGTAGTATTCAACACTTGCCATGTAATACTTAACAGAGCTTCCGATATAATTCTGCATGTAGTACTTTTATGACTGTTCTGGAGTATAAGGGCACCAGCAAACATTCTTTTATCTTTTAAACAGCAATGCCATTCTTGTACAGACTGCTTTTAAAATAGTCTTAAAATAGACATTAAAGGGGGAGGGGGAGGATGCTTTTTAAACTTCGCAGCCTACTTAGCGTAGTTCCCAAATAGGGAAAACATGTTCAATTCATTTTCCACTAGAATGCATGTGTAGTTGCTACTGGTACTGAATGTGTGATTTTATTTGATATTTTATTGCATTTCCTACCTAGGTATGCAAGAAATCTTTTTCCTGCTGTGACTAGTCTTTAGTATGGCAGCAAATAGTCAGATGGTACTAGAGGTAGTTACATTCTGCCACTGCCTCCTTAATTCAAATGCATGTTTTCTTGAGGCTATGTGGCTACCATGTGAGCATGGAAAAGATCCAACTCCTTCAAGGAGCAGCCAAGAAATATGAGGAAGGTGCTAAACGCTGCATCTCAAGCACCCTTGCCTGCTTCAGATCCGAATACTGCATACTTCTAGACTATATCATCTTAAAAGAAATAATGAGGAGAACACAGGCAAGAGCATTCCTTTCCACACTCCCGAGGAGCGCTTCTGAAGCAGTGTTCTGTCTCATCACAGTTAGTATGAAGTAGCAACAGCCTTACATTAAATGCTTTAATTTTAGGGATAGGCAACCAGCAACTCTCTAGTTTTTGCTGAACTTTAAATCTAAGCAGCCCAAAACAGGAGGGACAAAGGTTGCCATCTCTGCTTTATCTGTGTGCAAAAGTGGAAAAGGAGGATTGTTAGAAATTTAGAAGCCTATCTTTTTCACTCCAGCTGACACAGAAAATGAACTCCAAATTTGGTATGAAATGAAAATGGATTTTTCCAAATATTTTACAAATTGTTAACATATGTAGGAAGGATATAAATGTATATGCTAATTACAATATCAAGATAGGCCACTAGGAAGTTCAACAGTGAGATTATAAAAAAGGATTACCTTCAGTGATATACTATAGAAAGCCAGTGCTACTACTGATAATTCGCACTAATTTGTGGTGAACAGATTATGAGTCTTACAAAGGATTATAAATGGGACATAGAGCAATATATCCTAAAAGGGAAAACGTGGGTAAAATCCAAACAAAATAAAATTACATTGGTATAAATGGGGCATATGCCTAACTCTTTCATTACATTTAATGGGACTTTAAAAATTTATTCTTTTTGCAAATAACTGAGCCAAACAGTTTGTTTATACAAAACAGTACTGAAATGCAATGATTTTATCTACTACTTGCACAAATATGAAACCTTAAGGCTAGTATTCAAAAATTGCTGAAAAGAACCACATATGAGATAGAGATAGAAATAGGGTGTACCTTGTAATGGTAAAATTTTCACACCAAATTCTTCAAAGTAGCTAAGAGCACGAATGAGATCTAGTTCCTCTTGAATAATAGGTGGACAGTCTGAAATCAGCTGCAAGCAGGATCTTAAAAGAAAAAGGGAGAAGTTTAAGACTGAGTTTTTCTCAGAGTAACATCTTAGAAGCATTTTTAATTTGGCATAGAAGATCAGTCCTTCATAGCTCCTTAAAAGTGTTTTCTATATATTTTATTGCATTTATTTCCCACCCTTTTTTCTTGAGAGCTCAAAGTGGCACACATGGGAGATGGTCCCTTACATTGTCCATACAACAGAATGTGATCAAAATTGGCCTGAGAGAGACCAATAGGCCTAAAATCAGACAGTGAACTCTGTAATCAAGTGGGGATTTGAACATGGTTCTTAATCTAACACCAACATCATGAATTCTAATTTTGAATGTGACAGAAGAGGAAAACTAATTAATGCTTTGAGAATAATAACATGAATTCTAGGCTTGATCATGTCATTCAACAGCCAAATGAAGTTGTTACTCCTAAAATATTAAGTATTCTTTCCTCAGCTTTCCTTTCCACCAACAGTTTGGGTAGGCTGGAAACACAAGCTTCAGTTTTCAATTGTGCGGGTGGTGATTGTTTTAAATATCTAATCCTAGATGAATCTCAAGATATGAAGCTATAGTTTAAAATTGGCTTATTTATCTAAATCATAATTAAGGTAGCCACAGTTAGTTGAAACTATGTAACTTGCTCCCTATGGTCTCCTCAGTTTATGTGAGTCATTGTTTACTTTTTAAAGGATATAAATCTATTTTACTACATTTTGAGCTTATCTAAAAGAATCTATCATTCCAGAAAAAAAATCCACTTAAATAACAATACAGTGGTACCTCGGGTTACGAACGCGTCTGTTAACGAACTTTTCA